CCTCTGACCTCCGAGCTTGTTGCTGCCACCTGTCTCCCAACTACATTTACTTTAGCCTTAGTTAGTAACTGAAGGGTCAAACTCTTAAGTTCCAAAGTGACTGATTAGTTGGTGCTAATGCCCCTCCCCCACACTTATTTTACTACAGTTCTAATTTAACTTTTTAGTTTAGAAAATTTCAAACATCTGTAAAGTAAGCAGAATTGCATAATAAACCCTGTTTTCTCCAGCCAATTTCAACAATGATCAATATTCTGCCATGCCTGTATTATTTATACCTCTACCCACACTCCTTTTCCCTTTTTTAACTTTACTATTTTTTCTTTTAGTTAAAATTTACATAAATTGAAATAACATATTTTAGCTGCACTATTTTGGCAATTGGACATGCCTGGGTCACACACACCCCTTTCACAATATAGAATACATATTTCCATCTCCCCAGAAAGTTCCCTCCCAGACTATCCTCGCCCTTCTTCTTCCAAGGAACAACCACAGTTCTGAGTCTTTTTTTTTCTGAGCTCAGTTTTGCCTGTTCTTGAACTTCTAAAAATGGATTCATACAGTATGCAGTTTTTGGTGCCCATCTTCCTTCACTCAGCATAATATTTGTGCAATTCATACCAGTATCAGTTATAGGTTCTTTTTTGTTCTTATTGTTCAGTAGGATTCCACTGTATGAACTCCATACCACAATTTGTCTATTTTTTCTCTTGTTGATGGATAGTTGGTTGTTTCCAGCTTTTAGCTATTGCAAATAAAGCTGCTGTGAATATTTTTGTACAAGTCTTTTTGTAAATATATGTTTTTATTTCTCCTGGGTAAAATACCCAGAAGTGGAATTACTAGGTCAAAGGGTAGTTGTGAGTTCAGCTTTCAAGTTTAACCTTTTCCCAAAGTAGGTGTACTGTCACTTGTTTTTAAATTGCATTTTTTGTTGTTGGTTTGAATAGATAATTAAATCAAGTGGTCAAAAAATTCAAAAGCATAACAAGTACATATTGAGAAGTATTCTTTGCACCCCATTCCTACACTGCCTCCTACAGGTGAGCACTTCCATTAGTTTCTTGTGTATTCTTCCCATTTTTTCTTTTATTTATTTATGTAATTTTGTTGAGGAAGATTGGCCCTGAGCTAACATCTGTGCCAAGCTTTCTCCATTTCTGTTTGTGGGACACTGCCACAGCACGGCTTGACGAGTGGCGTAGGTCCACACCCAGGATCCAAACCCAAGAACTCCAGGCCGCCAAAGCAGAGCGCACCAAACTTCACTACACCACTGGGCAGGCTGGCCCCCCGATTTTTTGAAATGCAGTGATAAGTAAATAAATATGTATTTGTCCCCCTCCCTCTCCTAACACAAAAGGCGGCCTACTATATAGCCATAATGCATCTCTCTATTTTCACCTAAGGACATATCTTAGAGCCTTTCCATATTGGTGAATAAAGAGCTTCCTCATTCTTTTTCTAAACACTGCTCTATTGATGGACCCTTGGAGTGGTTCCAACCTGTTACTGTTATAAAGAATGCTGTAATGAAGAACCTTGTACCTACATCATTACATATATATATAGGAATATATATGGGCTAAATTTCAGAATGGTGTTTTAGCCTTACTAGGCCAAGGGTTATAGGTATTTGTAAGTTTGATAATATTGCCAAATTGCGCCCCCAAATGTGTTGTGATGTGTACCTCCATCAGCAATGCATAAGAGTATCCCTTGCCCATAGTCTTGCCACCCGAGTGCACTGCGAATCTGGATCTTTGCCATTCTCAAACATTTCAACCCAAGTATCCTAAACACCTGGGGAAAATAAACATACAAAAACCCCACATGCCATGATTTTGTGAGATGAGGTCCTAAGCAGGACCCGCTACATAATTTATGGGGCCAAGTGCAAAACAAAAATGTGGAGCCCTTGTTCAAAAATTATTAAGGATTTCAAGATGGTAAGAGTAGAGCATTAAGCCAAGCAGGGGTCCCTTCTAAGCATGCAGCACCATGCAATGGCACAGGTTGTAAGTCCATGGAAGTTGTCCCTGGTCCTAAACATCGTAAAGAAAGCAAGAAATCTTCAAGTACCTTATTTTATCTTAAACTCGATACCCATCTTTGCACTCCACTTCACATAATAATTATGTTTTATATTACTTATATCAAGTTAAATTGCTCTTTCAGGAAGGCATATTGTATTATCGTGCGGCAATACCCCCCCGGCAACCACCAGGCACCCCACACGCAGCCTGATGGGAGAACTCTAGATAACATCTCGCAGAACTTCCCTGCTTCCAGACAAGCTTTTTAACACTAGCCATATAAATACAGGGCCACCACTTTCCCTGCCTCACATCTCAATAACTGAATAACTGCAATGATGGAAATTGAAGAACAAGTGGAGGATAGTGTTGGGACAGTCATTGGAAGAAGAACCGTAAGTCCAAACTGCACTTGATGTTTGTCTTAATTTCTGATCATACAAAATCCATTAAGGAGCCCACTTTGCCCTCCTAGAGAGGGGAGCGGTGCCTTATACAGTGGCGATCTTAGTGCTTCTGCATTCTCAGAATGGTTACCATTATGGTGTTGGGGACCCCCAAGCATCAGTGTTGATGGTCTGGAGATGAAGCTAGAGGAAATTTCCTGAAAGAACTTGGGATAGTCACTTCTGAAATAATAGAAAGCAAGTGGAGTAGAGGGAAAGAGACAAGTTTTGTAGTGAGATATGGGGGGAGGGGTGGCGTGGCATTCACTGAGATGCCGGGCGCTGTGTTAAGGGCTTTACATACACCATCCACAGACCTCCCATCTTAGGACTGCTTCACAAACAGGTAGCATCTGAAAAGAAAAGAGAGACAGAGAAACAGACACAGACAGAGACTGACAGACAGGTGAAGAAACATCTACTCAAATAGGCAAAGGGAAAAACATAGAACTGAATGCCAAACAATTGACTAAAATATAGTCAACATACTCATGAGGATTGAGGCAAGAGAGCAGAAGAATTTGATCGTATATTAAACTAATCCACATTTTCAAGTCATTACTGTATTTATAGGTGTTAATCCAGATGGCCCTTAGGCGGGCCACCGTTCTCTGCTTTTTCACCCCCTCTGCTGGTAGTGCTAAAAAACAGTCCTCAGGTCAAGATACCAGCAAGCACCAGGGAGGATCTGAAGAAAATGAGATGGGTGTTTTGTACAGCCATGCTTTTCAAACTTTAATATGCATACAACTTGCCTGGGAATCTCGGTAAAATGTAGATTCCTATTCAGTAACTCTGGGCTTGGGCCTGAGAGTCTGCATTTCTAGCAAGCTCCCAGGTGACGCTGGTCCTTGAACCACACTTTAAATAGAAAGGCTTTAATCACCAGCACAAAACCCCTTCCTGAGGTCTCCCAATTTCACAGAGCACTGATCTCTATGACCCTTAAGTAGCTCTACATACAACAATGGGTCCCATCCACCACTGAACAGTTTAAGTTCATTGGGAATGTTTTTCCAGCTGCCTCAATGATTTACTTCTATACAAGTCATCAGCTTCTGCACGCAGTCAATGGTATTAGGATATTGGAATCTAGTTAGGACATGTTGTGATGATTTTGTCATATGGAATCAGATTTTTATTTTAGAAGAGTCATTTAATCAACCCTCTGATTTTACAAATCAGGAAGTTGAGGCAGAGAGAGAGTATGTGACTTGACCGCGGTCACACAGCTTGCTGATAGCAGCCAGACTAAAATCTAATTACACTGACACTGTTCTCATGCTGTCTGTCCAGATTATATCCCATTTTTCTCTTTCTCTAATGCGACTGGACTCATATCTGCTAAATCCTATAGATCATTAAGGTCCTAAGTGGCAGATCACAAAACTCAGGAAATATGACAGTATTTATCTTATCACAACAGTTTTCCTCACGTCTCATTCTTTTGTAATTAGTGTCCGGTTCTCTTATCAGTAGAGGTAGCCTTTAAATATCCATTAGAAGAAAAAAGAAATACTAGAGCCTGTCTTATAGCGTCACTTATCTTGGATGTTTGATCTTCATTTTGCTTTATCATTTCTGCTTGAATCCAATTTACTACAACATGGTACATTAGCTCTTAATTGATATTCTTTAAAATTCCCCACCAAAATAATACAAATTAATTCCATATAGGGGGGTGAGAAGATTCTTAATAAGTATGTGTTGACATTATTTGGGTAGATGAAAGAATGAATTGATTATATTCAGATAAATTCATCATAAGTAAATAGTGATGAAAATAATAATAAATTTTCACATATTGAGGTATATGGGGAAGCCATTCTGGTTTAGACCTGATTTGGCCTAAAGTTGTTTTTCCCAGAGCAGCCTGACTTATAGCCTGTCAAGCATGCATTGTACATCTGCTTCAAACATTATCCCAAAGCAAAGGATGCAATCTTTGAAGATAGGGATAAATGCCTCCCTTCCTCTGACGTCAATATCAGTACTCTTTTGAAGGTAAATTTTTCTTCCCAGAAACCAGGGTCATGTTGACCTGCTGTATATGTGCTAAACTGCAGCAGAATATCTCCTTGTGACTTTGAGGAAAACAATGTATCCTGTCATGCTTCATGTATGTTCTTTGTTCTGAAATGATATATAATCGTGCCGCAAATCACACTCCTCTGAAATGTTTTCTCCTTCTGTGGAGACTGCCTTCCCAGCTCAAGTAAAATGCGCCCTATCTTTCCTGTCTATAGAATGGTTATTGGTTATTTGCGTGGACGATAGCAAACAGAAGGACTTGACCCTCAAACAAGCCCAGGCTGAAAGTGGGGTTAGTCATGGACTACGTAATTTTAAGTTCGTTAGTCTTCAGCTTCAAAATTCCCTTCTGAGTACTTATGTGATTTTCATGCCTGACTGAGAGTGAAAGGTGAATTTCCAAACTGCCCTTTCCATTCCCAACAAAAAAAGGCACGAGAGTAAATAAAAAGTTTCCTGGTCTCTGAGGTCCCACCCAATAAAAGCGTAGAATGCAGATGAGCAAAGTGAGTGGGCGAGTGAAATCGTTTGTAACAAAAACCCATTATTCACAGATGAGAAATTTATATTGTCAGCATAATATCTGTGAGGCTAAACAACGCGGTAGAGTATATAAAAGCAGTGCGCTTTGTGCAGAAGTACAGAGCTCAGGATACAGCACATCCAAAGTTCCAAAAGGAGGGCTCGCTCTCTCTCCACCTGCTCTGCTCCACGTCACAGTGTCAAAAGGTAAGATTAACATTGAGTGACTGTAAGATCGCAAACCCTGTTTGGGGTACAGTTAAATATTTTTACGGGGACAGAGTGTTATGAATTAAAGCGTCGTTCTCTCATCTTATACTCTATTACTAATAACACATGGAGCAGAATTGAGAAGAAAAAGTGATATAAAATACATTTACATATGCTTCAACATAGTGAAGCCGCAAAGTGAATTGGAGAAATTATTCAATGCAAGGTATAAAACAGAAAAAAAGATTGAAATCAATGTACTTGTTACAAGATTTAACTGTTATGAGAACTGCATTTTAAAAATAAGTGGTGACATTTTAAAAAATAAATATTTTTCCTTGGATTTGATAAATGTGTATATTACTTTGAACAGAAGGCGGCTTTGAAATTTAGCAGAAATGTGTCCCTTAGAGAGGCTATAACAGCAATTGCTCCTTACCAATGAAAACTTATCATTTTCCAAAAGAGCAGAATCAACATCGTCTTTCAAATATTCAAATTTCTAATGAGTCTATCAAAAAATCAAAGTCCATGAAATTGGCTTTTTGTAAATAAGACGTAGCGTATTTGGTGCAGAGAACAAATATCCATTATTGGGAATTCTTTGGATGGAATTGAGTAAAACTATATATTAATAATTATTTACTGTGTATTGAGGACCAATAGGAATAAATAAAAATCTAAATGTTCACATTCTGAAATGAAGTTTTAGAAAATCTCTTTAGAAAAAAAATCAGTTGTTCTAAAGTACCTCTTTAAGCTCTTAAGGATAAAGAACATTTTTACAAAGATCTTCAATAGAGTAAATGATTAAGTGGTGTGTTTTTCCCACGTATACTAAGGACCCATGAGAGGAAATTAGCTAACCAGTTTAAAAAGTATTTCTTTGGCCTACGACACCAATATATAGGGATATAATATAATGTCACTTTGCCTAGGTCTAAGATTAAACTTTCTAAGAGACCTTCTACACAGGTAATACTAGTGTTTCTACATTTTCCTTTTAAATCTGAGTGGAACTGTGTGGTTCTTACAAAACCAGAGATTCTCTCCTTAAACTACCTAAAGGGGAGGGAAAGTAATTGGAAATAATTCTTCCCCTATTAAATAAGATTCTGATACTAAAATAACATAAATATTTGCCTTCTCAGTAGTGGTATTCAAACAACCAGACTTATTCTTAAATTTTTCATAATTCTGTAGACTTTCACAAAATAAATAAATGAAATTTTAAAAATCAGTTCATTCTTTCAGTAGAACTCATCTTACTGCCTGTAGAGGACTTCAAATATTCACTTTTGTTTTGTTGTTTCTTCTTCCATCAGCTCCCACAGTGGCAGAATACCACCTGCTCTAAATCTGCCTACGTAGAACATAATAGAAGACATTACAAAAACCTTTAGGGACTTTGCATTGAAGGAATTATTTAGGACTAAATTGACTTTCCAACAGCGATGTAATCCCAAAAAGAAATGTTTGCTTTAATTTTTCAAAATTCCTGAAAGGATGAATTATAATTAAGAATTATAACCATGAGACACTACCTACATATATGACAAGGTTTCTAAAGTTTACTGACTAGATAAACTGAGGAATAGCAAAACACCAAACAATTAATTTAATGTTGCTGAACGAAGAAGGATGAACATGTAATTCCTATTATATTACTTTGTCTAATTGACCACTTAATGTAAAAGGACTTAATATTTCAAAGAAAAAAAAAACCATTGCAGGTATTACAGTTTCCATGTTTTAGTGCCAAAGATAGATAATAAATATGGCTAGCAAGTTAAAGAAAAGACTGATAGTTTAAAATGATAATATTTATAAAATCCTTATTTGAAACCAAATGCCATTTGCTAAAAATACTCATTCAAATTGTTTATGGATAAGCATGATCAAACTTGGATTGAAATCCCTACTTCTCAAAGTAAACATGGTCGGACTTGAAAGAAGCAAAGAAAAGTCCATGACAAATACTGGACTTGAGGTTTCCATTCAGAAAATAGAGGAGCTAGCCCTGTGGGGACGTTCTGCCCCACATTCGTGTTGGTCCCCGCCCCATCCACACTGCACCATCATGTCATTGGCATCCTGTGTCTTCACGGGGCATCTGCTTGTGATACAAGGACAAGCAACCAGGTGTATCCTACAACCAGGTCTAGGGTGTCAATAGCAATGAATGACATGTCCTGGACTAAGTCCAATTATAGAACAACCTGAGGACTTCCAAGACTTCAGAAGCAAGAATTAATTTTCGTTATGACAGTGATCTCTTAGTGTCTTAGTTGTGATTGTTCAAGTTGCCAGAAGCATTAGTTCTTGTTGCAAATTGCTTGTCTTTAAAATGATTTTTTTCCTTTAATTTAGAACAGGTCAAAGCACCCTAAAATACCTCAAATCTGTTGGCCGCTTTATAATTACAAAGTCTAGACCAAGTTACACTATTTAAAATATAAATGAATAATACATCTGAACCGACAGCTGGTATGCCAAGTTGTAGCCTGAGGCTGCTTTAAGATGGTTGAAATGCAGTATAATGTAAATGCTTGGAAGTGAAGGACTATTAATTGAAAGCCAGACTGATAGTGAAGGGGGTGGCATTATGGATAAGGTGCCATTCAGGCTAACCATATGTAGCATATCATCTAGAGTGGATATTTTAAATGTTTATCATGGACATTTTTAATCTCATGTCTGGAAGTGAGCCTTCTAATCATTAGCAGAAGTGTCCCACACTAATGAAAAAGCTTAATGGTGGTACACATCTTTTGTATCCTTTTTTGCCACCAAAAAAACTGGGGAAAAATGTAATCTACTATTTAATATTAAGCTGGAAATACAATCAGAATAAAATTGATAACTGGCTTTTTCTTTCTATTTGTAATATTTACGGAGTCAAAATCGAACTAATTTAGCCTGACATGTTTAAACATGGTTGCCTGTCTCCCCCCACCTCACCTGCCCTTGACTCTGTGTTCTGACAGGCAGCAAAAATGAAAAGCATCTACTTTGTGGCTGGACTGTTTGTGATGCTGGTACAGGGCAGCTGGCAACGTTCCCTTCAGGACACAGAGGAGACATCCAGGTATTAAATCTTTAGACTTGAACTAGCATAGCACTGTGGTTAGAATATAGCCTGTGAAAACTATGATTAGTGAATAGGTCTAGGCAATTTAGAGTAAATACTCTGCGTAATTCTCAAATGTTTAAAGTATCATTGAGATAAAGCCTTTTCTGGAGTATAGATCAGAGTATGTTGTTTCATAACCAAAGGGGTGGGCAATGTTGAAAAATGTGTTACATGGGAAATTATAGCTCTTTGAAATCTTCAGCTGATCCTATCTATCCATGCATTACTCACACTGCATAGTAGATTATTTTAGTTATTCACACCGACTTTTTCTTTTTTTATTCCTTTTAAAAAATAACATTTCTTGCTAATTGTAAAAGTCATACATGTTCATGATGCAAAAAATTTTATTTGTATTGTATATAAATATATCTCAGATCATTATGCAGCTTTGTATCATGCTTTTTCTCTCAGCATTGTGTTGTTAGCTTTTTCTCATATAATTAAAAATATCTATTAAATGTATTTAATGGCTGCATACTATTTCATCTCATCAATGTACAGCATTTATTTAGCTCTGTTGGACACTTGAGTTCTTCGAATTTTCCCACAAAGAATGCTGCAAATAACATTTTTCCCTACGTTTCTGACTATTTTCTGAGGATAGATTTCTAGTAGTAGAATTTCTGTGTCAAAGGGTTTGAATGAGTTTAAATCTTTTATAATATCTTGCCAACTTGCTTTCCAGAAAAGTTGTACACATGCACACTCCCATCAGCAATATAGAAATACTCCTCTCACACGATCCTCCTCGGTATTTAATCTTTGCTAATTTGACAGGGAAAAATAGTATCTCATTTCTATTTCTGAATATTAATCACATTGAATATTTCCCTTTATTTACCGTGCCAAACAACTGTTGATTACTGGCATGTGGATTATTCACTATACAGTTTCAAATTACCAAGTGAGCTTTTTCTTGTCTTTCTTTGAAATTTTAATTGTTTCTCTTCCACCATTAGCTACCATATAATCAGGTATTTGAGCTACTTTTTTTAATTAATATATGCAAAACAGTATTGGAAACATAAATTTGCTGCCCAAACAAATGACGTGGGATTCTTTACTCTTTTAAAATATTTAAGTTATTGTTCTCTTCTGTCATTATTAGCAAAATCATGAGTATATGTATTAGTTGGAAAAAGATTAAATAAATCTTTTTATATGAAAATAAAAATCTTTTTATATATAAATAAAAAAGATTTATTTAATCTTTTTTCAGAAAAAAAGAAGCCAGTTGAAAAATCTGTTATTAGAATTCAGAATCAGAGTGTATTCAACTCTAATAAAGCTATGGCATTCCCATAGCTAGCTAAGGTCTCTCTGAACCTGTGGAAATACTCAAGGCACCTGCCTTCCAGCTTGATATGGTCCTATGTTTTTAGAGAAGATGCTCCTCAAGTGAGTCTACTCTTGAGGAGAGATTTAATTGCACCAATCACTGTTCTCCACAGATCATTCCCAGCTCCCCAGACAGACCCACTCAATGATCTGGATCAAATGAATGAAGACAAGCGCCATTCTCAGGGCACATTCACCAGCGACTACAGCAAGTACCTGGACTCCAGGCGTGCCCAGGATTTTGTGCAATGGTTGATGAACACCAAGAGGAACAAGTAAGAGTCTGAACCTGTTCCAAAATTTGCACACAAATGTATTAATTAAATATATCTAAAGTTTCTCCGGACTTTCTTAAGTTATCGTGCTCGCCAAATAGTGTCCATAAGCTGTTTCAATTTTGATGATTTTCAGGCTTGGTGATGCTATCTTTTGTATTATGCCTCTGATTTCCCACCTTTCACCCCTCCAAACTCCTTACCCACCTTCCAATGGGACATAGACTTTAAATTATTTTCCCAACTGTGTTCTTAGCAATATTTACTCTCTTGAGCATTCTCATTTAAAATTGGAAGCTGACTTTTGTGGATCTGCAAGGTTTGGAATCTAATTTCTGACCAAAAGATAAGAGCAAATTCAACATTCTCCTGTAGGGTTCAAACTCATGACTGTGATCACATTCGAAGTATCCTCTAGCCAAGTTAATCATGGTAAGGAATGGAAACAGATGCAGTCTTTTTCTTGTAGAATACAATCCAAGATACACATTTAAAATTACAGCCTAGCTGCACAGCATAAAGCGAGAAGAAGGCAAATAAGAACACAAGCCTATCATAAGGCATACATTTTAATGTTCGATTTACTTTGACAGTGTTGGGTTTTTTGCTGCATCTAGGCTACTGGAGGAAATCATCCGCAAGGGTTTCACAGAGATGGTGGGATTTTACAATTTCTTTGGAGAGTGGCCCACAAGGGGGAGTTATGCATACAAAGTAGCTGAAGGAATCTAAAAATTAGGAAAAGGGCATAGATTTATCTGGATAGAATGGAGAAGGGAGAGTGAAAGCAAGAGAACATGAGCCAGCAGGAGGAATAGGAGAGAGAGAGTGGTTGACCAAAAGTTCTTAAAGTGGAGGGTACAACTGCAGAGAAGATGGTGGTCGTGGTCAGAGAAGACACTGGGAGGAGTCCCTGTTAAGGACTACAGATGGGGCCATTGGTAAAATGTGAGAAATCACAAATCTGAAAAAATGAAAACAACTGTCCTCATTCCTAGAAAGGAAATGCCACAACTTGGTAAACTAATGCAAAACAATCCTCACTCTCAGGCGGTTTCTGTTGTGTGTTTAAGATGAAGCCTTCCAGGGGTAATATATGCAGGGAAGACTGAGGGCAGCTGGCCAACCACCTCCACAGAGCCTTCTGCCCACACTTGAGGGTGATATGGGGTCATCTTCTTAGCTTTCCTCATGGCTAGTCCTTCACACGTTTCCTTTAATCTTTTATCAAGTGGTCCTTGTGATGACATTTTGAGATAGTCCTTTGTTTTCTCTTGAATCAATTAACTAAATCTGACCCCATAGGTACTGATAACAAACAGCTGCTTTTTTGCAAGTAGTATAGCACAATGGATAGCCCACGTATATTGATCATGGAGTAAATGCAGCTTTAATAGTCAATGGCACAGATAAGCAGGGGAGGTGAACATGGGTGTGCTGGGTGGACCTTTAGCCTCCCTTAGTTGTTGTTAGTCCTCTCCCATCAACCTTCAATCCAGATAATTAATGTAGCTTCAAGACGAGTCCCCTAGCCACCCTCATCTCCCAAATCTCCCTAAGCCCCTTCTACAGAGAATCCTGAACCCAAAGCTGCCACTGCTTATAGGTGAGAACCATATTGCTAAAGAGACAGATCTTCAATTTAACTTTCACATTTCTTTCAGGAATAACATTGCCAAACGTCATGATGAATTTGAGAGACATGCTGAAGGGACCTTTACCAGTGATGTAAGTTCTTATTTGGAAGGCCAAGCTGCCAAGGAATTCATTGCTTGGCTGGTGAAAGGCCGAGGAAGGCGAGAGTAAGTCTGTACATTCTTATTTAACATTTTTTTTTTCCACTTGATGCTGAAAACTTAGACTACAGTTATCTATATATGGATCTGGATTACAGAAGCAATTAGTATAGTCTCACAAAGTAAAGAAATAACTCCTAGTGGTGGGAGACAGTCTACAAAAGTCTAGTCTGATTTCTCTTTGGTGGCGAGTATTAATAATAGAGTCAAACAGGTTACATTTTTATCACCCATTTTAGATGTGTTATAATTACGGTACTAATTTGTCAATCCAGGACACTTTTGAGAATAAATAGAGTGCTTTTGATAAGTACACCAAGACAAGCATAAACTAGGGCTGTCCCAGGAAAACCAGGAATAAGGAAAAAGAAGAAATAATGCTGAAAACTTAAAGTTTGATTTTAAACGTTTACATACAGGATTAACATATATTTATGTTTTAGTAAGTACTCAGGTAAAAATGTGATGAAGACTGAAAGGAACTAAACTTAAGATGTTTAATGAAATGACTTTCACAATACAGATATGTGGAAGCATCTGTATATTTAACAACATACCCATTTTTTTGTGGGACTATCATATAGATAACCATAAAATTATTACAGTTGAAAATGAAGGTAATACCTCTAGTACTTTCTTGAATCTTGCCACAACCAAACCCATTTTCTAATTACCACCCCACTTTCTAAGGCAACTGTTTCTTTTCTTAATTTTATTTATTTATTTATTTTTTCCCCCAAAGCCCCAGTAGATAGTTGTGTGTCATAGCTGCACATCCTTCTAGTTGCTGCATGTGGGACGCGGCCCCAGCATGGCCAGAGAAGCGGTGCGTCAGCGCGCGCCCAGGATCCAAACCCGGGCCGCCAGCAGCGGAGTGCACGCACTTAACCGCTAAGCCACAGGGCCAGCCCACCACCCCACTTTCTCATGACCATTTTGATTGACATTTGAATTATAAGAAGCAGAAAATTCATGTTCAACTCTATTTTTTTTTTAGTGAGATTTAAAACAAGCTTACTGAGACTTAAAGAGATCTCAAGACAAAAGAGAACTAGTATTATTGCTGATTTTAAAAACATTACAAAATCGATGGTAAAATAATCACATTTGAGGATATTTATAGGATTTTTAAAAAATACCAAAAATTCTGCTAATTAAACCAAAGAGAAAATCTATTATAGGCTAAGGTTTAATTCCTTAATACTGCACTTTGCAAGACTGTTCTGATAATCACTAGTTTTATAGGATATAATACATTTTTCTGAATTATAGACAAATGAAGTGTCTCAAAAACCTCTGTGTGGCCAATATACTAAAATCTTTGAAGCAGCTGGAATCTTGAAAGGGTCATGAAATTATACAGGGTTGGTTTCAGATCCCAGCTCTGCTTTTTACTGTCTACATAATTTCCCTTCCAACATGCACCAGTTCATGCAGGTTTCTATGAGGCTTTTCACAGTAGATCCTCTGTAAATAGAAACTTATTGTTTTCTCAATGACCCGCACACATATTACCAGTGATAGGCAATCAATAAGCATTTATTTAAAACGTCTAACCCAATACTAATGTCACCTCTCTTTTTCTCAGTTTCCCAGAAGAAGTCACCATCGTTGAAGAACTCCGCCGCAGACATGCTGATGGCTCCTTCTCTGATGAGATGAACACAGTTCTTGATAATCTTGCCACCCGGGACTTTATAAACTGGTTGCTTCAGACCAAAATTACTGACAGGTGACTGCATTTTAATTCATTATGAAAACCATCAAAACTTTTATAAATATTATCATACTGCTATAGGTTGTTCCCTATGCGAGGGAGAGAGTCTTTACTTTCTTGGCATATAATTAACATGATGAATCATTTGAGTACATTATTATATTACTTTTTGATCATTACAGTTTTACCCGTTCACCCATTTATTCCAAAAACATTTCCTGATTGTTAATACAGGACGAGGCATTAGGAACACAGATATGAATAAAACATGGAGATGTCAAGTCATTCACATATTAATGTCACATTACAAATTGCTATACATTTTAGCACAAAGTTAAATACCAGGATATATGGTATTATATACTTAATGTAATAAGAATAGTAGTAAAAGTCTAAACACCAAAAATTAACCACTTATCTTGATGGCTTATAATTGCTTTCTATAATTATTCATACACTTTATATTTCTTGATAGGAGAACTTGAGGATAAGCTGTCTTTTAATGCAAATATTTGAAAAGTCCACAACACTAAGAGATTTATAAGATGAAAAGATTGATAAACAACTTTTATCGAAATAAATCATTGAAACATTTCCTGGATAGGTTAACTACATCATCTTGGTATTATTGCTGTGTTAAATCACTATCTTTTTTTTTTTTTTAGGATGTAAGTATGTCACTATTCAAGATCATCTTCACAACATCACCTGCCAGCCACGTGGGATGTTTCAAATTTTAAGTTCTGTAAATTTAAGAGGTGTATTCTGAAGCCATATTGCTTTGCATGCCAATAAATAAATTTTCTTTTAATACTATGTAGCCAAAGATTGTAAATGGAATAAACCATTGTCAAAATATTGCTAAAATGTCAGCTTTAAAATCTGAAAGTGCAGAATTCTCTTATTTTCTTCTTATTTTGGATGAAGTACCTTAACCTGCTTAACTTGGCAATGAAATGGGTTTTCTATGATATGATTTGTACATATAAATTATTCCAATCACAACATATTTGCATTATAATAATAGATAAGGAAGGACTGGTAGCCACAGTGGTGACATGGGAAAGAGAACTTTCTTCTTAAAACTTTTGTCATAAAAATGCTTCGCTTTCAATGTATCAAAGATAGACTTAAATAAAATTTTCGAGCTTCTTCACCATTGTCTGTTTTCTTTCTTACTCATGCCCCAATTCCTTCCAAACACCCCTTCTTCCCAAACTGGTAGCCAACAAGCCAAATCTGGTATCCAGACATGACTTCATGTTTTGAACGGCTGTACAATGCTTTGACATTCTGAGCCAATATTGAAAAATCAAAGTATTTTACATAAACATATTGATTTCTGACTTCTCTTAAAAATGTAGGCCATCAGGCCTATTAGACACACAAAACAAATCTCTTCCGGAGCTGAGTACCGGCTGCCTCCTTCGGAAGGTTCACATGCTCTCTGGCTCACTATCGTGCCCCCTACACACACACACACGTGTGCAGAAGACACACCTGTGCATGCTCACACACACACACACACCCACACACATAATACACACATGTAGGCACTTTCCCCTGGCCCACTCTATTTATACACCTCACTTGCCTGGCACCTGCAGACATTTAAGTTTGTCTGTCATACTCTTATCTCCCCGTCCTGCAATGTCCAGTATCTTGGGCCAGTCCACTGCTGATTGCCATGGTGGAGATTTTTCTTTGCTGTATGCAATGTTGCCAACTCTCTTTCTCTGTCTCCTCCTTTTTTTGAGATAAAATAAACATAACATTGAGTAAGTTTAAGGTGTACGATGTGTCCATTTGATACACTTATGTATTGCAGTGTGATTACTGCCGTAGCTTTAGCTAACACTTCTGTCACGTCACATAACTGTCAGTTCTTTTTTGTGGTGAGATCATTTCAGATCTAGTCTTTCAGTAATTCTGAAGTATATAATACAGTATTGTTGACTATAATTACTATGCTGTGCATCAGATCTCCAGAACTTACTCATCTTCTAGTTGCAAGTTTGTACCCTTTAACAACATCTCCCCAACTCCTCCACCCCCCAGGCCCTGGTAACCACCATTCTACTCTAAGTTTCTATGAGTTTGGCTTTTTTAGATTCCACATATAAGTGATATCATACAATATTTGTCTTTCTTTGTCTGGTTTATCCCACTTAGCATAACGCCTTCAAGGTCCATCCATGTTGTCATATATGGCAGGATTTCCTTCTTTCTCATGGATGAACAATATTCCGTTATATATATGTATATACACGTGTTTGTGTGTTACATATATGTGTGTGTGTGTGTATAGAAACATCTTATTTATCCATCATCCATCGACGGACACTTAGGTTGTTTCCACGTCTTGACTATTGTGAATAATGCTGCAGTAAACACGGGAGTGCAGATATCATTTTGATATCCTGTTTTCATTTCCTTTGGATGTATACCCAGAAGTGGGATTGATGGATCATGGGTATTTGTAATTTTACTTATTTGAGGAACCTCCATACTGTTTTCCACAGTGGTTGCGCCAATTTACACTCTCACCAACAGAGCACAAGTGTTCCCTTTCCACCACATCCTTGCCAACATTTGTTTTCTCTTGTCTTATTGATGATACACATTCAAACAGGTGTGAGGTGATATCTCATTGTGGTTTTGATTTGCATTTCCCTGATCATTAGTGATGTTGAGCATTTTTTCATATCACTGTGGGTCATTTGGATGTCTTCTTTGGAAAAAGTCTATTCAGTCCCTCTGCCCATATTTTAACTAGATTGTTTTTGTTGTTGTTGTTGTTATTGACTTGTATGAGTTCTTTACATATTTTGGATATTAACCCCTTATTTAATATACTGTTTGCAAGTATTTTCTCCCATTCCTTAGGTTGCCTTTTCATTAAGTTGATTTCTTTGTTTTTTGGGGTTTTATTTGCTGTGCATAAGCTTTTTAGTTTGATGTAGTCCTGTTTGTTGATTTTTGCTTTTATTGCTTATGCTTTTGGTACTGTATCCAAAAAATCATTGCCAAGACCAATATCAAAGAGCTGCTTCTCCATCTTCTCTTCTAGGAGTTTTATGGATTCAGGTCTTATGTTTAAGTCTTTAATCCATTTAAAGTTAATTTTTGTGGGTGGTGTAAAATAGGCATCCAATTTCACTTTTATGCATGTGGTTATCTGGTTTGTCCAACACCATTTGTTGAGGAGACTATCCTTTCCCGATTGAGTGTTCTTGGCTCCCTTGTCAAATATTAGAAGATCATATGTGTGGGGGTTTATTTCTGGGGTCTATTCTGCTGCAGTGGTCTATGTGTCTGTTTTCATGCTTGTACCACACTGTTTTAATTACTATAGCTTTGTAGTATAGCTTGAAATCAGGAAGTGTAATGCTTCTGGCTTTGTTCTTCTTTCTCAGGATTGTTTTGGCTTTTTGGGGTCTTTTGTGGTTCCATACAAATTTTAGGATTGTTTTTTCTATTTCTGTGAAAAATGCCATTGGAATTTTGATAGGAATTGCATTGAATCTATAGATGGCTTTGGGTAGCATGCACATTTTAACAATATTAATTCTTCCCATCCATGAACATGGGATGTATTTCCATTTGTTTACGTCTTCTTCAATTTATTGCATCAAAGTCTCACAGTTTTCATTGTATTGATCTTTCACTTCCTTAGTTAAATTTATTCCTAAATATTTTTTTATTTTTGATGCTCTTGTGAATGGGATGGTTTTCTTTATTTTTTTTTTCAGTTATTTTGTTTTTAGTGTATAGAAATGCAACTTATTTCTGTATGTTGATTTTATATCCTGCAACTTGACTGAATTCACTGATTAGTTCCAACAGTTTTTTGGTTGAGTGTTTAGGATTTTCTATATATAAGATCATATAATCTGCAAATGACAATAATTTTACTTTTTCCTTTCCAATTTAGATGCCTTTTATTTCCTTTTCATGACTAATTGCTATAGCTAGGACTTCCAGTACTATGTTGTATAAGAGTGGTGAGAGTAAGCACCCTTGTCTTGTTCCTGATCTTAGAGGAAAAGCTTCCAATCTTTCACCATTGAGTATGATGTTAGTTGTGGCTTTGTCATACACAGCCTTTATTTATGTTGAGGTATATTCCTTCTATACTCAATTTGTTGAGAGGTTTTTTTATATCATAAAAGGATGTATTTTGTCAAATGCTTTTTCTGCATCTATTGAAATGATCACATGATATTTCTCTTTCATTCTATTAATATGGTGTGTCATGTTTATTGATTTGCATATGTTAAATTATGCATCCCAAGGACAAATCCCACTTTGTCGTCGTGTATGATCCTTTCAATATGTTGTTGAATTTGGTTTGCTAATATTTTGTTGAGAATATTTGTCTCTATATTCATCAAGGATATTAGTCTATAGTTTTCTTTTCTTGTGTCCTTACCTGGCTTTGGTATCAGGTAAAGCTGGCCTTTTAAAATGAGTTTGGCAGTATTTCCTCTTCCTCAATTTTGGGAAGAATTTGAGAAGGATTGGTGTCAATTCTTCTTTAAGTGTTTGGTATAATTCACCAGTGAAGCCATTGGGTTATACTGTGTTGGGAGGTTTTTGATTGCTAATTCAATCTCCTTACTTGTTATTGGTCTGTTCAAATTTACTACTTCATGATTTAGTCTTGGTAAATTGTATGTTTTTAGCAATTTATCCATTTCCTCTGGTTATCCAATTTGTTGGCATATAATTGTTCATAGTAGTCTCTTATGATCCTGCATATTTATGTGGTATCAGTCGTAATGTCTCTTTTTTCTGATTTTATTTATTTGAGTCTTTTTTTTTTCTTAGTCTATCTAAGGGTTTGTCAATTTTGTTTACCTTCTTGAAAAATCGGGTTTTAGTTTTGTTATTTTCTCTATTATTTTCCTGGTCTCTATTTCATTTATTTCTGCTCTGATCTTTGTTATTTCCTTTCTTCTACAAACTTCGAGTTTAGCTTGTTCTTGTTTTTCTAGTTCCTTGAGTTGTAAATTTAGGTTGTTTGTTTGAAATCTTTGTATTTTCTCAATGTATGCATTTATCACTTTAAATTTCCCTCTAAGAACTGCTTTTGCAGTATCCTATGTGTTTTGGGTGTTGTTTTTCCATTTTTACTTGTTTCAATATTTTTTTAATTTCCCTTTTGATTTCTTCTTTAACTCATTGGTTGTTTAGGAATGTATTGTTTAGTTTCCACATGCTTGTAAATTTTCCAGCTTTCCTCTTTTTGTTGATTTCTAGTTTCATACCATTGTGGCTGGAAAAGATAGTTGATGTAATTTCAGTCTTATTAAATTTGCTAAGACTTGTTTTGTGGCCTATCATATGACCTTTTCTGGAGAATGTTCTATGTGCACTTGATAAAAATGTGTATTTTGCTGCCGTTAGATGGAATGTTCTATAAAAGTCTGTTAGGTCCATTTATTCTGATGTATGGTTCAAGTCCAGCATTTCCTTGTTGATTTTCTGTCTGGATGACCTATCATTGCTGAGAGTGGGGCATTGAAGTCTCCTACTATTTTTGTATTGTTGTCTATCTCTCCCTTCAGATATGTTAGTATTTTCTTAATATATTTAGATGCTCTAATGTTGGGTGCATATATGTTTATGATTGTTATATCTTCGTGATGAATTGACCTCTTTATCATTATATAATGACCTTCTTTGTCTCTTGTTATCATTTTTGACTTAAAGTTTATTTTGTTTGATATAAGTATAGCTGTCCTTGCTTTCTCTTGGTTTCCACTTGCATAGAATATCTTTGGCCGTCCCTTCACTTTGAGCTTATGTGTGTCCTTGAAGTTGAAGTGAGTCTCTTGAAAGCAGCATACAGTTAAGTCTTGTTTTTTTATTCATTTAGCCACTCTGTACATTTTGATTGGTGAGTTCAATCTATTTACACTTAGAGTAATTATTGATATGTAAGGACTTACTAATGCCATCTTATTAGTTGCTTTATGGCTGTTTTATATTTCAATTGTTTCTTTTTTCCTCTGTTTCTCCTTACCTTTTTCAGTTTGTGATTTTCCCTTTTTTTCTGTTAAAAAAAGAATTGCTTTATTAATACAAAAACATACACACACAAACTGTAAAGTGCTAAGAAACTTAAATATCTAAGTCATAGCAAACAGGTGG